CTGACCAATTTGTGACCATTGGTCAGTCTGGGGCTTTTTAAAGTACAAGTTCTAAGGAAAATCCATGTTTTTAGTGATGTAGGCTTCCCTGTGTGAACCACCCACGGTTGCCCCACTAGTGACAGCTAACAAAATCACAGATAACCCAGGATATTAGCCTAATTTGCATTTGGACATATGATTTGCACTGTTCAAGATACATACAATCCACTCTTTAGCTAGTATTAGCTAGTCACATTCAACTGGACCTGTTATATTATGCTGAATAAGCTTCACTGCTTATCTGAGCAGTTAAATTTAGAATTGAAGAAGCTGCTTTGACAAGCAGCAAAACATCTTGAAAATTACAGAATAAGTCTAGGTGAATATGACTAGCTAGCACTAGAAATACCATGAGCTAGGTGAAAGGGAACCATCACAGACAAACCAGTCTTTCTTTAACACTACGGTCAATAATCCAACATAGCGCGTTAAAGGAGAACTATGAGGCGAGTGCTTTTCACTCACCTCATAGTTCTAGCCGACCTGTGACAATGAGACTGTCACAGGTCGGCTCAGTAGATCGGGAGGTGAGCGAACACATACCGGGTTCGCTCACCTCTCAATCCTGTCATAGCTCTCTGCCGTGACAGGGGGAGGGGCTGGATTCCCCTCTCCCCGCTCCGATCCGCCAGCGCTGACTGACGGAATGGACGGGGGAGGGGGCGGGTACAGCTGGCTCTGCCTCTAGATAGGCAGAGCCAGCTGTCACTCACGCAGCTGGGCGGATCCAGACATAATTGTCGGGATCCGCTTCAGCTGCGGCGTCTCAGTATACCGCGAGCTGTAGCTGGCAGTATACTGAGCTGAGGGTGACGGGAGGACGCTAGTTTGTGTCCTCCCGTTACCCTAAGAAGAACTATGGGGAAAAACCCTGACCACATAGTTCTCCTTTAAACAAATTTGACATGCTAATGATTCTTTTGTTCAGCGCGTGCACATTTCAGAGCAGTGGGATCTGGCATTCACATTGCCAAAGACAAATTCCTTTTTACTTTATTTGTAAAAAGTATTTCCTGTGTGGAGCTGTTAAAACTGAAATTTACCCTACCTATGTAAATCTAAGTTCTATCTCTCTGATAATTGTCCCTGTATATAAAAAAAATACCTAGTAGTCCATGAGCCAAATGTTGCAGCCAACGTTCTTTTTGTGCCGTTCTGTTCCCACTCAGTCTTTAAATTCCTTTATCGTGGAGACAGTTGTTCCTGATTCAGAGAACCCACACATGTGCAGACATGGTTCAGGTCTCTTACACATATTTAGGACCTGAGAGAGCATCCTGCGGCATCTCTGCGCATGCAGATGATCTTACACATGCTCAGACATGCTGCAGGGTTCTGCCAAATATTTAGGACCTGGCAGAGCCCGGTGTCATGTCTACACATGTGTAAAATCTCACACAAGTCCAATAACGTAGACTGATAGACAAACGAGAGAAACACGAGGGCGCAAAACTAGGTCAGCTAACTACCTGGACCTAGCATATCAGGGAAGGTGACAGGAACAATCAATATATATGTATAATGTACTTACTTATGTGGGTGGGGGAACCAGATGTGAACCGGCCCGTGAGGAGGATCAGGATACCCAGCATGTATGTTGAATGGCGGCTGATGTGTTGCCTGGGGCTGCTCGTCCCAAGGGGGAGAGAGAAGGGGAGAGGAGGAAGGTGGACAGGAGGCAGGTGACGGAACGAGGATATGGTCCGTCTTCCTGACACAACAATGAGGGATTTGAGCAGCGTACAAGAAAGGAGTCTGGCTATGCTGCTGTGGCCGCAGCTGTGGATGGTGCGGCTCAGTCTAGGAGTGGACCGGTGTTTAGCAGTGTGCCCGAGCCGTAAAAACGGCAATGGAAGGGAGCCGGCAGGGAAGTCAGCAGGGTGGCGAAAGGTCGGGTCAGTGACTGTCGTGGATGAGGATAAAGAGCTCTTTACCTCGACCCACATAAATAAGTACATTATACATATATATTGATTGTTCCTGTCACCTTCCCTGATATGTTAGGTCCAGGTAGTTAGCTGACCTAGTTTTGCGCCCTCGTGTTTCTCTCTTTCGTTTTTCACATTTACAGGTACTCCTCCTTGTTCTCAGGGCTGCATGCTATCTAGGGCCACAAAATCCACCTCTCCAGGTTCAATCCGAGAGCGCTGTCCGTACTATTTGTGTTTTTAACATAGACTGATAGTATACCATCCTTACAGGGGCGTAACTAGAAATCACAGGGCCCCATAGCAAAATTTTGTATGGGGCCCTGTGATTTCTAGTTACACCCCTTGAAGAGCCCACATAGCTCACCTGAGGGTGACCCTGCAGAGCCCACCATAGA